GCCTTTTAAAAAAATCCAGATTCTATTAATAAAGATGCAAGGAAATATGTGACTGTGGGTTTCATTTTTCAGTTCGTAGGAGGCATGGGATTTCAGTTTTTGGATATTGGCATGGTGTTTATGGCCATCTCCTTACACCTGAGTATGGACTTGCTCTTTGATTCTATGCTTTTTGGTAGTTTAGTACAGCACTTTGTATTAACATAAGTACTTTCCCTATGCCCTGCTTTTTTCTTTTTCTTCTTTTTACTTTGATGTACTATTGGAGGCCCAAGGCCAGTGATGGGCCTCCATTTTGGAGTTGAGACTCTCTCAGTATATGGCCAGTTACACCTCTGTGAGCTTCTAGGTCAAGTACAAGACACAGTTGACCTATTGTTAAGGAGTATGAATAAAGATGAACATAACTCTTAAATAGCCATTTCTGTAATTGAGCTAAAATAATTGATTGCTGTCAGATAATAGAAATTCTCAGTTTCAAAAATGAACTCTAACCATATAGCTCTTTTAAATTTCTATAAATATTAAAAGACTACAAGAATGGAACTCTGTAGTTTGCTGAAAATATTACATAAGTTTTCATTAATAAAAGTAAAATAGCCATGCTGGTCTTATAAATGGTTTCCTGCTTCTGTTGCCAACTTTAATGATTTTAGTTAAATTTCATAAAGGGAAATAGAAATATATTATATTTAAAGGATATAGACATTTAAAATAACAACAGGCCTGAGTGACTAATGTAGAATAATTATTAGGCTCCGAGATTTCTATTTTGCTTGATGGTATTTATTCATCAATCTCATTAGTGGAATTGACCTCTTTACTTCTTAGTCGTGTAACATAATTTCACCAGATCTTGGTAGGGAAGTTCAGAAAAATGGAAGATCGCTTTTTCAGGAGAAGTTTAAATTCCTTTGATCATGTAATAGTTCATATATAAACAAACAAAAACCCTCTTTTATTAATCCTTTGTACTAGAAAGCCTAAACGTGTTGTTTTTAGAAACATACTTTATCGTTCAGCTGACTGTCATTTTGTGGTCATCTAATGTATAAATGAGAATACCTAATAGGTACCGAACACTTTCTATGTACCAGGTACTTACAGTGATCTCATTTAATCTTCACAAATACAAAAATAGTTTGGAATCTCCTTTATAGATGTGGCGGGGGAAGTAACACATGTCTCCAGGCTAATCCTGAGGCTTGGGTGCAGAAAGAGCAGGTCCCCATGGTGTGCAGTACCTGCTGTTTAGTTCATAATGTTACCAGTGTCCAGGAAATCCTTAATCCATGGACACTTGGTAAACATGAGAGAACTTTAATTCTTCTGGGGAAAAGGGCGTCTGATCACACTGGGTGACCTAGAGCAGATTGCCCTGGGGTGACTAGCCTGGAGTACAATCTCTTGTTCCCTCTTCCAGCCTGGATTGCTCATTCTGTGATTCCCTAACATGTCATTTGTTCTCTGTCACCTGATTAACTGCTGAACACTCACTCATTGTGCGCTTCATTGATCATAAGCCAAGAACTTTTGGCAGCTCTGGGGAACATGATCTCAGCGTGCCTCCTGGTCAGTGTTGGGCAACTAGGAGTTGTTAGTTGGGGTGAAAATTTGGATCCAGAAGCCAGGGCACACGCCAGAGGCCAGAGATGTGGTAATTGAGCAGCTGACACGTGAAATGCAGCTATCCAGACTCAGTCTATAGGGCAGGAGTCAGAAATAGAGTAAGCACGTGACTTTGAAAGATTATGATGGGTGACTTTGAACTTTGTGTATATAAAATACAGTTAACATTTGAACAATGTGGCTTCAGGGGTACTGGTCCATCCCACAGTCAAATCTACATAAAACTTTTGACTCCCCTAAAACTTAACTACAAATAGCCTATTATTGACAGGAAGATTTACTAATAATGTAAACAGTTGAGTAACACATATTTTGTACATTATTATGTACTATATGCTTATAAGAAAATAAGTTGGAGAAAAAATGTTATTAAAACAATTATAAGAAAAATACATGTAGAGTATAGTATTGTATCCAAAAAAATCCATGCAGTTTTTTTTTTTTTTAAGATTTTATTTATGCATTTGACAGAGCACAAGCAGGAGAAGTGATGGCAGAGGGAGAGGCAGCCTCCCCTCAGAAAAGGAGGCTGATGTGGGATTCCATCCCAGGACCCTGGGATCATGACCCGAACCCAAGGCAGACACTTAACCGATTGAGCCAGCCAAGCATCCCAAAATCCGTGCAGTTCAAATCCGTGTTTTTCAAGGGTTAAGTGTAATTCTGTTTTACTTAGAGGATAAATTACCAACTTATTCATCAAAGTGCTCATTACACCATGCAGAAATCTCTCCGTAACTTCTCCCCATTGGTTCTAGCTATATCTTTCTGCATAAAATACACCTAAAATTGCAAAGTCTCCTTTGCTATATTGTCTTCTTCATGGTCTCCAAAAGCTGACGTTCTTCAGGGCTTAGTCCTTGGCTACCTTCTACATTTATTCCCTATGTGGTCTTATGTGACCCCTTGCTTTAAATGCCTCCTGTTCTCCCAGATTTATTCTTAATCTGTATCTCTCCTATGAGATCCAGGCTCATATCTATGGCTGCCTACTCAACATTTTTTGAAAGTCTAATAAACATTTCAAATTTATCATGGCTGAAATAGAACTCTTGGACTCTCCTCCCCAAATGTGTTCTTGCCCTCCTTTTTCTTCAGCTCAGTAAATGGTCCACACAGTTGCTTAGGCCAAAAATTAGAGGCCATCTTGAGTTTTCTCTTTCCTTCTGAATCCATTTCCAGCCCATCCAACATATATCCTTAAATACCCCTGTATTGCCACTACCCACTACTTCCTAATATAATACAACTTACCATCATTACAAGTTACCTGGATGATAGCAACAGACTTGTAACTGACCTTCCTTATCTCCTCCTTGCACCTCTCCAGTCATTTCTCCATTCAGGAACAAAAGTGGTTTTTTAAAAATGTTTAACAGTTCCTGTCATTTTCCTGTTCAGAACCCTTGAGTGACTACCCGTCACACTCAGGATAAAACCCCAAGTCTTACCATGTTCTACCAGACCCTGTGTGTTCTGCCTGCTGACTTTATCTCCTACCATTCTCTGTCTTGCTCACACTGCTCTAGCCACAGTTGCCCTTTTGCAATTCCTTAAATTCTCCAAGGCCACTGTAATCAACTAAATCCCTCTTACTCCCTACTCTGCACCCTCATTCCAACCAGTTCAGACTCCAGTCTGATAGCAGCGGAGGTGGATTTAGAGAGTACAAACGTACATACCCAAGGCTCTCTAGCGTATGTAGTAAGTGAGGTTACACTAGAAATTTTGCAACTTTATTATTCCAAGTTTCTGTAATTTGCATTGCTTTCAAGTGGAAGAAGACTTGGAGATTCGGAGCAACAGAAAGACATAGCTAGAATCAATGGGAGAAGTCAGAGAATTTCTGCTTAGTGTAATGAGCACTATAATGAATAAGCTGTCAACAGTTACATTTACTTGCAAATAAACTGGGCTCCTTCACTGGACAGTAAGTTCTCCAGCACTGACAGCGTGTGTATCTTTGAGGCTGATCAGATTGGGGCTCCACAAGTTGTGGAGGAAAACTGTGCTGGAGTGAAGGGTCAGAGAATTGATTTTTAGATCTTTCTAACTCAGATTATATAAGTTTTTAGAATCCTTTTTTTTTTTCTTCAGGGCACTCTTTCCAAGTCTTCCTCAGATTTGTTCTCCTGTATTTGTATTGGAAACTTTCACCAATAAAGGGTAAAAGTTTACAATATTTGAAGAGAAAGAAGAGCTGCTTTCAGGGTTGATTCCAGTCAGATTGCTCAAGTCCTCATCTAAAGGAAATTATGTTGAGAAATTTTTCTTTCTTCCATTTTTTATTTAGATTTTATTTTGATTAATTTTTGGTCTAAAATAAGCAATACATACATACACAGATTCCCTGGTAGGTTTTAGTTGTTAAACAAAAAGTTCACTGAATTGCAGAAGTAGAGAGAATAATGTGGTAATGTCTTTTTTTTTTTTTTTTTTTTTTGGTGGAAATAGCCTTTTGATTAAAGTTTACTAGAAATGGAAAATTCACCTCATAATTTCCCTTACATCAGAAGCCTTTGAGAATTAGTGATCATGTTTGAATGTTTCCTTGAGGGTGATGTGGCCATTCCCTTATCTTCTCTTAGAAAGGCAGAAGTAGGGGCGCCTGGGTGGCTCAGTGGGTTGAGCCGCTGCCTTCGGCTCAGGTCATGATCTCAGGGTCCTGGGATCGAGTCCCGCATCGGGCTCTCTGCTCAGCAGGGAGCCTGCTTCTCTCTCTCTCTCTCTCTCTCTCTCTCTGCCTGCCTCTCTGTCTACTTGTGATCTCTCTCTGTCAAATCAATAAATAAAAAAAAAAAAAAAAGAAAGGCAGAAGTAGGATTTTGTAGCAGAGAACTTTGTTATAAGTGCTTTTAGTTAGACCAGGATAATGCTATTCGTGCAAATCCCAGTTGCTTATAACCCCTGAACTGTGGAATTTGGAATCAGTGATATAAGAAAGAATAATTTTCAGGGTCTCTGGATACTAAAGTACTTTATATTTGATTGCTTCTGGTAGCTAGGACCCAAATAATAGGATGGCACATCTAGAAGTTGCCTCCAGCCTGGCAGCTTCGTGTAGCACCAGGGCCTGCCCCAACCAGCATGGTGCTTGGCAGATCATTATGAAATCAGCAGTGTGAACAATATGAAATCAATATGAAATCAGCAGTATATGAATATACTGTTCTAAGGAAGGCCTGAACTCCTTACCCTGCTTTCACCTTGAATCTCCTCTTATTTCTCAATCTTTTCTGGGTTTCTGACTTTGCTGCCTCCTTTCCCATTACACCTATCTCTGTCTTTTAGATTTGACTGCTCCTTCTTCATGGTTACTATGTTGACTTTGCCCAAACAAAACTACTCTGATTCAAAACATACAGTTTGGATTATCTCCTGTATTGATATTCCTGTCTTGACTCAAGCCAGGGATTCTCCTAGGAGGAGAGAATTGATAGCAGTACCTCCTCAACTATAAAGGTAACATGAGCATTACATATGTGTCATGGTTCTTGACTTCTTGCACCTGGCAATTAAGATTAATTTTTGTATCTCGCCTTAGCAGAAGACTAACATATCCACATTTCTTTTAAAACTAATAATGAAGTACTAAAGAAAGAAAAGGAAGAAGCAGTTCTTAAATGTAATGCACTTTTTTCTGTCAAACTCATCTACTTAGGACAGATCCAAGAATCAAGGATAAGAAGAAAGAGGCTTTTAAACTACATATAGATGATGTTTGAAAATTCAGACCTTAAAAATACATCGGGTTCACTTAGAGCCTCTTTATTTACTAATTTTTCCTCTTAATTGCAAACACTTATGTTTTCTAAATGCTTTATCTGTTTTACTTAACATGTTTTCTAAATGCTTTATCTGTTTTTACTTAACTTAATCCTCCATTGCAATCCTGTGAGGCTATTATAACCCCCATTTAACATACGAGGAAATTGTCTTGGACAGGTTACATCATTGCCCATAGTTACATGGCTAGTTTTGTCAGAGCTGGGATTCAAGTTCATGTGTATAGCCACTTTTTATCTTGATCTGTGAATTTTCTTAACTCATAATTCCAGGAAGCCCAGTTAAGTGGTTTCTCAGACCAAGCAGCTTAGAAGTTTCAAATTTGAAAGAAAACATAATGACCTAAGATTCCCAATTTAACGTATTCCTTTTAATAAGATAATTACTCAAGAACACAAATATATGTACAGTGGGGTTCTATTATAATGTTATCATAGAAAAATAGTTATTATGGCAAAATAATTGAAAATAATACAGAACTTCAATAATAAAAGAAATAGATAGGGCACTGCTTTTGAAACTTTAATGTATATATGAATCACATGGAGACCTTATTAAAATGAAATTTTGATTAAGTCTGGGGAGGGCAAGATTTTACATTTCTGACAAGTTCCCAGATAATGCTGATACTGATTTATGGACCCCACTCTGTGTAGCAAGGAATTTCAGTACCTTACTATTATGTTTGTTAAGAACAGGCCTAGGACTAAGGAGAGGTAGGTGCCTCACTCATCTCTCCTTAGTTCCATCCTTGGATAAAGATCATGTTTTTAAAGACTATTCAGTGACTCTTAGTTATTCTTCTAACATAATGAGAAGAAAATTCAAAAATTAAATTTATACTATTACTCAATTTGACTTAAAAAAGATATAAACTGGGTTTATGACAGCCTAGCTTTGGAGGAAACATTTGCTTCCTGCCACCCACATGTCTGTCTTTAGTCTCCCCCCAAAATCTCGTTTTTTTCCTCAGTAAACATGTAAACTATTTAATGGTATAGTGGGGGCTTCAGTCAGGCCATCTTCCAAAACAAATAGTAAAGGGCAAATATTTTTAAGAAAAAGGGTAGAGAAATATACTTTTTTTATGCAGAATTACGGTTTAGAGTAGAGAATCCTACTTTTTAATATTTATTGATTTGCTACTTTTTAAGCGTTAAGTTTACTGAGAAGCAAAATCTGTGCTTTTTCTGTGTTCTAAACAATGTGTGTGTGTATGTGTGAGTGTGTGTGTTTATATAAATAAACACCCTTTACATTGCTGCATCCTTTTTTAGTAAGGTAGACCAAGCAGGCTTTTAAAGGGAGATTGGTTTTCCTTTCAACCTTTAAAATTCAGTAACCTGAATCTAGAAGTGAAGGGTCTTTCACTATGGAGCAGGGAAGGAGGTAAAAAGGAGGCAAGATAGGAAAGTCTGATACATTTAAAATCTCATTCTCCTGGAGAAGAGGGTGTGCGGCACAGAAAGAATTCCTGAAATCCGCATAGGGGTGTTCTTGAGGATTTGGTTGAACACCACACTGTGCATTCAATTTGAAACCCCTAGAAGTTGGCAAGGATAACTTGTAAAGAATAAAAACTTATCAGTTCTTCCTGAGAATGAGCCCTAGAATAAAGGTTCGTCTACACAAATTCTAAAAGAGCTTAAAACCAAGCCTCCAAAGAATCTTGTTAATCTACAGGTAACTTTACTGTCTGGCAGTTTAACACTCAATACAAAAAAATCTAGCACTCAGCAACATAAAATTCAAGTAAATTGTATCTAGTTAAGCCTTACTTGATAAACAAAGGAGCAAGAGAAAAATCTCAGAACAAGGAGACAATAAAAATAGACCCTAAAATGGCAGAGATGGTACAATTAGCAGACAAGTACAGTGAAGCAGCTATTGTAAATATGGCCCATGTAAATAAACATAATGAGAATTGGAATATCTAGAGATTTAAAAATGTAGTAACTAGGTGGGATTAAGTGCAGATTAGATCCTTTGGGAGAAAATGTCTGTGAACTTGAAAACGACGAGAATTCATCCACGGGATAGAAAAAGGACTGAAAAAGATAAAAGCAACTTGGTGCCCTATAAGATAAATACCATGAGTCTAACATAAGTGTAAGGGAGTCTCAGAATTTTGGGGGGAGGGCAAGAGAGAAAAAAAATTTAAATAAATAATGGCTGAAATTTCCCCCAATTTGAAGTAAGCTCTAAACCCATAGGTCCAAAAAATTAAACAGACCCCAGGCAAGATACATACATCCCAAGGCTCTGCATAAGAAAATTGCTGAAAATCAGCGATAATGAAAAAATTTTAAAAGCTGTCAGAGGGGAAAAAAAATATATTGCATACAAAGGAATACAGTTAAGAATTTAGACAGCAGACTTATAAGAAACTATTCAAACCAGAATGCAGTTTAATAGCATTTTTTAAGTGCTAAAAGATTGTCAACCTAGTATTCCATAGCTAACAAAAATATTTTAGGACGTTAAGAGGAAGAGCTTTTTTAAACAAAAATTAAGACAACTTATGACCAGCAGACTTACGTTATAAGAAATATTAATGGGATTTCTTTAAGCAAAAGGGAAATGGTAGCAGATGGAAATTTGGACTATACAAAGGAATAAAGAATCCTTGAAATGTCTCATGTCAATAAACATAAGAATTTTTTTTTCTTTGTATTTCATTTTTTTTTAAAGGTAACCCTTTGAAGCAAAAAATAATAACAGTGTCTGTCTAGTGGAATTATAACATGTAAAAGTAAAATGTGTGACAACAATAGCTCAAAGAATTGGATGGGGAAAGGAATCATATTATTGTAATAGTCTTAGACATGAAGGTGTAATGTGTTTTGAAGGTAGGTTATAATAAGTTAGAGAGAATCCCCTTAAAAGGTTGGAAAAACAGAGTTTTAACTAATAAGAAACCATTGGTGAATATGAAATGAACTCCTAGAAAAAAAAAAAAATCCAAAAGAAGACTTAAAAAAAAAAAGGGAAAAAGGAACAAAACAGAAGGGACAAATAGAAAACCTGCAACAAGATGGTAGAACTATATACAACCATGTCAGTAATCACATTAAATGTAGATGATGTACTCTAATTAGAAGGCAAAGATAGTCAGATTGAATAAAAAAGTAAGAGTAAACTCTATGTTTTTCTCAAGAAACTCTTGAAATAGGTTAGAAAAAAGTTGGAAAAATATATACAATGTAAGTCCTAGGTAACAGAAAACTGGAGTGGCTAATATTAATATCAGAGTGAGCTTCAGAACAAATGATGTTAATAAGGTTAAAAAAGGACACTTCATAATGATAAATGGATCAATATTTCAAGATGAAATTATAACTTTAAATGCAGCCACTATGCTACATTGCCAAAATACATGAAGCAAAAACCAATAGAGCTGAAAGAATACATTGAGAAATCTATTATAATTGGACATTTCAGCACTGATAAAAGTAATTGATGGGACAAGTACAAAGAATATCAGGAAAGATATAGATATGTGTATAACAACACTGTAAACTAATTTGATTAGTATTTATAAAACATGTCACTCAAGAAGAGCAGAGTTTATATTCTTTTCAAGTGCATGTGGAACATTCATCAACATAGACCACCACATGCTAATATATAAAACAAGTCTCATTAACTTTAAAATACTGGAAGTTATGCATAGTATGTCCTCTGACCCCAACAATTAAGTTAGAAATGAATATCAGAAAGGTATCTGAAAAATCCTCAATATTTGTAATTACACCAAATGCTTCTAACACATTGGTTAAAAAAATAATAATAAAATAGGGAAATTAAAAGTTGTCTTGAAGTGAATCAGAATGAAAACACATAAAAATCCATGAGGTTTAGCTGAAGCAGTGCTCAAATTTTTAACTTTAAATACTTGTATTAGAAAAGAAGAAAGGGATAAAATAAGTGATCTAAATATCCACCTTAAGAAGCCAGAAAAAGAAGAGCAAATTAAAACCAAAGTAAGTAGAAGGAAGGAAATAATCAACAACAACAGAAATCGAAGAGATGATCAAGGAAACCAAAAGCAGGCTTTTTGAAAAGATGAATAAACCTCTAGGTAGTCTAATCAAGAAAAATAAAGAAGGAGGAAAACACATGTTAGTAAGTATAATATCAGGATTGAAAGAAGGGATGTCATTACATATTCTACAGAAATTAATAGCATATAGAAGAAATATCATTTAGAAATAAGTTTGACAACACTGATGAAACAGATAAATTCCTTGGAAGACACACATTACTGAAATTTGACTCTGAAAGAAATAAAATTAGAGTAGTACCATATCTTAAAGAAGTTATATCCTTAGTTAAAACCCTTTCCATATAAACAAAGCAAACCAGAAACAAAAACCAAAAGAATTCCAGTCCCATAACTGGATGTTATAATGTTGTAACTGATGAATTCCATCAAACATTTAAAGGAGAAATAATTCAGAAAATAGAGAAAAAAGGAACACATCCCAACTCATTTTAGGATATCAGCATTAATGTTGATACCAATCAAGGTACAGATATTACAAGAAAACTATGAACAAATATCCTCATGAACATACAAGAAAAGTTTTTGAAGATTAGTAAATTAAATCCAGCAGTATATAAAAACATGGGTTTTTCCTGGGTGTGCAAGCTTGGTTTAATTTTAGGATATTCCC